ACTTTCGAATGAAAAAAATAAATTCAAACCTTATAAAAATAAGAAGATGTGGTATGATAGCCAGCGAGACAACTCTTCACAAAAGACCAAATGACGTAGAAGGTAAGCCACTTCAGGTCACAGTACGGCCTTCAAAAATGAGCGGAGGCATCTATAGCCAAGTGGTTTAAGTAGTCGAACTACTGTATCCCTAGCCTGTCAACACTGAGATTGTCAGTTCGAAACTCGCATGCGGCAGGTGCGCTCGACTCCAATCTTAATTTACTAGGATTGTCAGTTTTCCTACCAAAGGTTGGTGGTTCTCTCCTGGCACTTCGGCTTTCTCCACCAAAACAAAACAAACAACTGAACGGCATGAAATAGAACAGTAGTGCTGAAAGTGGCGTTAAACGCTAATCAATCAATTGATCAATCAACAATAAGCAAAACTCATACCACATAGCATGATATAAATAGCCTTGAAATGACAAGTGTAAAACAATTCAAACGAGAAAACTAACGGCCTGGCTTGATTTGTGTAAAAAAACAATAAACGAAAAACAAGTATGATAAATAGCAACAAACGACAACCACTGAATTACTGAATTACAGACAAAATACTTATTCATCATAACAAAAATATTATTTCTCTATCCTTGCTTCTTTTTAGTTCTTTTCATTTTATTTATAGTTTGTATAATTATACACAATGATATGTTCTCTTTCCCCTGTGTACATGCAATCATATTGTTATATCTATTTTCATTTAAGAAATGAATGCTTCTTTTTGTAATTTTATTGGGGTGTATAAGTGTTGAACGAAGCACATTTTGTATTCCGCGCTTCATTCTAAAAATGTGTGCATGATAAATTTAATAGACAGTACTAACAGAACATTCAGTATAATAAATTAAATAACACATAGCTGAGAGGGTTATAGAGCAGATTGTCACCCCTCAGTTGACAATGTGTTCTCGGGGTAACAATCTGCTCTATCACCCTCTCAGCTATGTGTTATCTATATATTGTTTACGTACTGGTTCCCAGATATGACCTCTATGTTTGATCTCATAGAGACATAATATGGGAATATTACCAATATAAATACACATGGATAGCGGCCAAATTGAATTCTGAAGAAGACCCAAAGTGAAGGGAGGAGAAGTACAGAATTTTAGTACAAGTTTAAACTCTTAGAAGTTTGGGCATATAAATGTTGAAAATATGCCACATAGCCATATGTTTAGACCTTTGAAAAAAATAGTAGTGCATATGAACTTTCCATTCTAGGATATAATTTTTTTACGAAACTTCATAGTAAACATGGTAAAAATGACACAGTTTTAGTTGTAAAAGGAGTTCCTATGGGAAGTTGCAATGTCTATATATACAGAAGCCTAAGAAAAGCTTGAAAACGTATGATGTAATCAGTAGTTTTGGTATTATCCTGACACAATATTCTCAATGTCGCTAACGGACTCATTTTTGACGAAAAGATTGCAAGACCGATAATATTTCACCAGGACAAAGACATTTTTTACTGTAAGAGATTCCGTTGATTTCAATACTAAATAAAGATACAAGACCTTGCACGGTCGGTAATATTATATTGAATTTAAATAACTCGAATTGATATCAAGCGATATCCAATTCTCATTCGTTATGAAACCTTTAATTATTAAACTTCATGACCTTAAACTTTCTAACACTTAATACCCGGGATCAGGAAAACAATTTTTTTAGTAATTTACATGCCCTTTTGATAAACTCTAATATATCATTAGAGCATCTGATTCAGAAATTTATATAAAAATGGGTGACAATCCACCCTATTTTTACCTTGCGCTTAAGGTGGTACCTAACACTACAGGGAGATAACTCTGTAAAAATCAGCTAAACGTTTTAATTACGTTGTATTGTTAAGGAAATATTAAGCTTCTCAATGATCAAAATTAGTGTTTGTCAAATTGCTATATAACCAAAGAAATTTTTCTGATAAAGTGGTTGGTTCAAATTTTTTGAAATTTTTATATTTTTGTCAAAGGGTCAAAGTAAACATTTTGTCAAAATTTTATGAAAATTAAACGAGCCAAATTAATATTAGTCAAGGTGTTGGGTACCACCTTAAGGAGGGTATTTGTATCGAATTTTGGTTCAAATAAGCATATAATCCTCGCTATCTATTGCACAACTTTCTTTGGTGCAGTATGTAGAATATAAATTAATAACTTTAACGGTACCAATTTTACTGCACAACTAAATTCAATTCTAAATCAAGTATATCAAAATATTATCGTAAACCTTGCAACAGTGCATGCATTTGAATTTGAAATGTTTTGAAACTTCTTGTCACGTTCCTACTGCATCTAATTTTCAGTTTGATTTTCTCTGTTGCACATTTAATAATCACATGTATATGGCGATCACGTGAAATGTTGTTGTTTTAAACGTGTTTTGGTAAGCCACAGTTCAATCGGAACTTCATATAATAAGTCAGATAAAGCAACAAATGAAAGATATATAACGGTTTTACTGTTGGAATACATTGTTGTTCATATTGTAAGCATTAAAGTATTTAATCTGATACATTTCTTTAATTCGCCGTTGATAAATAAAAAAAAAAAAACATTACGAAACTAAGGTTCCAACTCCCGCAGGCAAAGTTGTTAGATGGTGTTTGTTATTCTTTTAGGTCCCTTTGGGAAATAAGCTTCTCTAAATTCAAGTAGTTTTCAAATTTTGTATTTTTTGTTCTGATGAAGGTACATCCAGAAAGGTGCTTTAGACGCAACAAATTTATATAGATACCGCTGCTAGTGGACTGTTAGACTCAAATGGTTTCATCAACTGAATAGTCATCAATTCGGTACTGACATGATTTATAACATGCATGTCCTAAATACGCCGATGAGAAGATTTTTTTTTTAAGAAACTAAGGTTCCAACTTCCACAGGCAAAGTTATAAATATTGTTGACTATTCTTTACGGTCTTGCTTGAGAGTCCCTGATGAAGAATGGAGATCATGATCATGCATTATTCTATAACGTTTTTGGACAAATCAAATGCTTTATCAGGACGAGAACATTTTATTATGATATAAACATGAAACCTACTTTTTACTAGCCCGATAGGCTGAGCCGGAATTTTAATTTGCTCGTTCACAAAGTAACAGTTCTCAGGAAAGATGACCGAATTTAGCTTAATGCTTTAATATCATGTTCCGCTATAAAGATGATGTCCTCTCATTAAAAAATAAAATTTGGTGAATATGTTGAACGCATCTATTCCATCACACTTAAATATAGGATACACCAGTTACAGTTAAGTCTGTCTCATCTCTTGACTTTCATCAAGAAGTTGACAATGGTGATCGGTTGAGAACAAAACTTAACGACAAAAGGGATGATTTCAGCTTTCCAATTGTTAACTTTTCATTTCTATGTGCCGCTTTCCAGCAGCGCCTGCAAATAGAGTATATATATCCCCGTCGATACGATATTCTAGAGCTTGCGTTTCCTATCATGCTTTTCTTGATAGAGGGTTGTTGCTTTGAAGGAAACTTTTGAATGTTTCCAAGTGGTAAAGTTAAAATCAACCCTTCGAAAATTTTACGGACGCCATCACGAGTTGTTTAACGTTATGGAAGACCACAGATATGTTAGAATGTTTTAATCACAATTATTCTATTATCTATAATCTTTTCATCGATTTTGATATCAACGAATGAGACTTATCACAGGATTTGTACCATCATGAGCAACACGACGGGATCAGAAACTTGTTACGCTTCAGAAGCACATGAGTTCACTCCCGTTTTAGGTGGGGTTCGTGTTGCTTAGTCATTTAGTTTTCTATGAATTGTTTGTAGACTTTGTAAGTTACTTTATCCTCCTTCCCTTCGTCTATATTACCTCCTAAGTCGCTGCATAATCTTCGAAGCACGAATTTGAGACGTAAGCAGACATTATCAGCGACGTCACAATGTCAAAGGAGAAGTAATCAGCGACGTCACAATGTGTGAGGAGACGTTATCAAGCTTATTTTCGTTAAGAGTAAAACTATCTAAAGGAGGGGAAAAGAACAGTAGTAGAACGATAAACAGATTATTATTCTACGTAATTCTACGTAAAGATATCATAGAATATCAACCGTTCAACACAATGTGAAGCTGTTTTGCTCGTTCGCTGCGCTCATTCGCCAAAAAGGTTCACATTGTGGCTCGCAGCTGATATTTAACGATATCAAAGGGTAGAAAACTCGATAATTTATACACCTTTAGCTATATCGTGATTGTCCATTAGAGAAATTCTTTGAATTCAATTCTTGGGGCTCCAGACATAATATTGATAGCCTCTGTTTAATTTATATTTACTAACAACCATGCTAGCCTTAAGGTACGTTATAGCTGGACTATTGGTATGTACACTTTTCCTTTGTTCTAGACCGTTCTCCTCTAAACAGTGGGCTCTTGGAATTTTTTTTCTAAATTTTGATTTTGGATTTGGGGGGGTATTTCTGTGCCATTGACGTATACCTCAAATTTCGTGTTATTTATATAAGAAACGTATATAAGATAAGAGCATAGATGAGAAGTCATATAAGCTTTTACATTTTGGGCAAGCGATATACATTTAATATAATGTGTTTTTCATGTTCACATTCTGTGCAAGTGTCGTCAATTGATCTAACGAGCCGGTCAGTGACGCGCAATATCTAAATTCTTAGATTTAAATTGGATTACAGATTAAATGAAGAAAACTTTATCAACTGTTAAAAAAAATTACAGCACTAAGAGGCAAGATCTTATATAAAAGTAGTTCTTGAATTTTCGAATTACAATTATCTATCAAAATTTCAAAGTTACTCTATTTAAATGTATTTTCAAATAAAGATTATCTATACTATCACCTCTAAAGGAGATGTGTACACCATTTATATACCGTAAGAATGAAAAGTAACAAGAACAAGATAATTAGTTGTACTTTTATATCAGATAAATGCACTGGAGTATGTGTGCTTACATTTTTCATAAACCCTTTATACAACGTGATAATGTTGCATATGATGCAGTAAATGAAATATGCACGTTAGAAACATCAGTTTTATTTCGATATGAGATCATTGCTATGCATAAACAATGTAAATACACACGACTTATTTAATATCATCATTTCAAACGACGCTTTTATTTCTAAATTTTAAGCACACTACTAGTATATTATCGTGCAGGACTACATACAGTTATTATTTACAAATCATTACGTAATTACCCCCATTTCTATGCTCAAACATAGATTTTGACAAGAACTAAAAACTATGTTGTATGGTAATATGTGAAATTGTGTATTTTATGTTGACTTCCTGAAGGAAAATTACCAAATGAAGCTGATACAAATTGGAATATAAATCATATAATAATTCACAATTGAATAGATTTGGGATAAAAACTATCATTATAAATTAACCAATAAGAAATTGGGAGGCGACAGATGGGCGAATGGGTGCAAACCTTTCCAAGCTGAATATTGTGCCAATTTCTGTCTATATTTCGATTTTAATACGACCTTCAGAGGAGAACATTGACAAAACTATGTTTCTTTTGTCATTTAACTATTACTTTGTAGTTAAAGCAATACATCTTTGTTGACTGGAAGTCAATATTACTTCATTGTCTTACTCGGGAATTATTAATGGCAAGTCATGCATGTCAAATATCCGTTTTCATAGCATTTTATTTTTTTCTCCATAAAGGCATTAAGGTTGTCATATTTTCTTAAACTCATTTACTCATCTATAAAGAGTTTATGGACTATGAATTGCAAGATTGAAGTCCCTGTTGTCAACACAGTTCAGCAATGGCAGTTCTAAAAAGGTACGGAGGTTCATGTGGGCTATGAATGAATGGCTATTGCAATTACGACTACAGGCGGGATTAGGGGCGAATGGATTAAAACGTTGCGTTATTTGTTTTTTTTTCTGATCCTATGTAAGTATCCAATCAAAATGTATTGTTCTCTGAGTGACAAATCACTTTAATTTACCAGTAAACGAAGAAAGAGCATTACTAAAATTTCTGGAAACAAGACATTATAAATTTAAAGGACATATTGTGTACATACAGATAGACAGATTCAAAAGGTAAAATTGTAGCTTCTGCAAAGATGTATCTCCTCCAGTATGAATTAAAATATCAGAACTGATAATTACCTGTTCCTTGTGTTACGCAATAAAACAAAATTTGCATCTACTAAAGGTATGAAAACTCGTGACATTTCTTGTACACCATCAGGAAAATTACGCATTATTTCAAAGAGTTTCCAATTACTATGGAATCATTTTTATTCCTGGAGTACCAATTATCATGGATTGCGTGGGGAAAGGTGAACCACGCGTTCAAGTGTTCATCGAAATACTATTCCCTATAAGCTTGTGTGCAAACTTTGACAAACCACAAAATCAAGTATCCACACACATACAATCTTTCCTTGATCAACGAAAATTGGTACTCTATATAAAATGCATGAATCTACGGTATTGGTTGAAAGTAAGTATCGTCGTATAATGACTATAATCATTGTGTAGTGGTATATACATGCATCTCTTGTCTATTTGGATTCAAATATAGTCATAATCTTTGTCTTGTGTAGTGTTATATACATGCATTTCCTGTCTATTTGGATCCAAATCGTCATAATCTTTGTTTTGTGTAGTGTTATACACATGCATCTCCTGTCTATTTGGATCCAAATCGTCGTAATCTTTGTTTTGTGTAGTGTTATAGACATGCATCTCCTGTCTATTTGGATCCAAATCGTCATAATCTTTGTTTTGTGTAGTGTTATAGACATGCATTTCCTGTCTATTTGGATCCAAATCGTTATAATCTCTGAAAATAATAAAAATCATCAACACAAATTACTTGATATGTATTCTTCTTTGTCAAAATGTGTTCGATTCTCTTTACAAAATCAAATAAATAAGAAGATGTACTACATGACACTTTAACAATGCTTTATACTGTAAAATGCTCTATATAGATTGTTAAGTGTATGTAAAACGATTGTTACTATTACGACCAAGATCATCTATAAAGGACTTGCACGGTCATGAACTTGCGAAAAATAAATGTTAATCACTCCTTTAGTTTTAAATTACCACTTCTAAAACGTGCGTCTGGCGTACAAAATTTTAATCCTGGTATCTATGACGAGTTTATTTACAACCACTGGGTCGATGGTTTCCTCTCCGATAATAACACCAGCCCAGTAGGCAGCACTTTTGTGTTGACATATATCATCATTGATATTCATAATTATAAATTAACTGTTTATAAAACTTAGTTTTTTCGAATTTCCACGGATTTTCTACCCCAGGAATAGATTACCTTAGCTGTATTTGGCAAAACCTTTCGTTATTTTGGGTCCTCAATACTCCTCAACTTCGTACTTTATTTTACCTTTCAATCTTATTTTTTTTATTCGAGTGTCACTGATGAGTCTTTTGTAGACGAAACGCGCGTCTGAAGTACAAAATTTTAATCCTGGTATCTATGATGAGTTTATTCATGTGGATATATTGTCATATTTGTAAATATAAGTTAGACATTCCAATTGGCTGCTGTCAAAGAGTGTTTGTGATTAACTTTCATCAGTACGAACAAAAGAATCTGTTGGATATTTTTGACATGTTCATCCATTTTCACTACCGACCTTCCGCAGTCAATATATCAAGCCATACCATATCAGATATATCGTTTTTATTACTCATTCATATATCATTTATGGCTTTTTCAATCGATATCATTTGCAAAACTACACAACAGCGTACACCTATTATTGATTAAATGGTATTATGGATACCTTCAAATTGGTCATTTCAATAAAACATTGTTAAACCATGAATGGACACACAGCTTTTTCATTGTGTAACTTTGAAATGCAGATATTACCCGGGCCTACACCATTAAAAGCCGAAATAAAAGGGACTAAGCAGAACAAAAGAGAGGCGAAAGATACCAAAGGGACATTAGAACTCATAATTCGAAATAAACTGACAACGCCATGGCTAAAAAAGAAAAAGCCAAACAGATAAACAACATTATTTCTTATGCAGGAAAAATACTGCAATCTGATTGGTCAATTACCCCGGTGTAAATAACACCCCACCCTTGTTCAGCCCGGGATAAATAAAATTTTGCCAAAAAATAAAAAAATAAAAAAAATTGCCAAAATAAGGAAAGAAAATTAAAAATGTAAAAAAAAAAAAAAAACAAAAATAAAATAAATAAAATGTAAAATAAAAAAAATATAAAAAATGAAAGATAAATAAATTTGAGGACAAAAATTTGTAAAAAATAAAAAAAAAAAAATAAAAAAAAAAAGAACAAATTTTTTTTTCTGAATCCCCAAAATAAAGAAAAAAAGTATTTGACAATGCGCAGCAACATCTACGTTGAAAAAATAAAACACTGGAAATTTTTCATTAGCATTTTTCAATTTTACATCCCGGTTTAAAAATGAGTAAAGGAATTGTTCATAAGAAATAAATTCGTTATCTTGGTGTAAACAGGGGTGTACGGAATTTTACACCGTTGTTGAAAATTTATACACCCATTCGGCTGCGCCTCAGGTTGTATGAATTTTCAACAACGGTGTAAAATTCTGTACACCCCTGATTACACCAAGATAACTAATAGTACACAAAACACAACATAGAAAACTAACGACTGATCAACACGAATCCCACCAAAAACTGGGGTGATCTTAGGTGCTCCGGAAGGGTAAGGAGATCAAACAGTATCATTTAACGTTTATTCTTGTTCTGTGGAAGTTACAACATTCGTTTCCGTACCACTACATTATTTATAAACTAGAAATGTACAATCAGTGTATATTTGAAAGTGCATACAGCATTTCTTTCAGGAATAATCCTCATTAGGTGAGCTCGATGTTTGGGATGCTTAATACATTTTACAGTTTCAAGCATCAACACCAACACGAGCAAAACATTATTCTAGTTCCGGGTGCGACATGTAGCGCGGGATCTGCTCATCCTCCTGGGATACCCGAGATTACTCTCGGATTTTGTTTCTCACTCTTTAGATTTTTTATGACGTGTTGTGTACACTGATTTTTTTTCGTCGTTTTCGTTTTTTTAAAAGTTTGCCTTGCAGCTATTGAACGATTTTAATCATCTTAGATGAGCTTTTTTGAAAGGTACCAAATTAAAGAGACAGTAATTTACAAATGTTCAAATCTCGTAAATCGATTGAGACGAGACGAATCAAGATAACACACATAAATTGATGGAATCCCATGAACTCTATAAGGAGCGTATAGTGTGAATGAGCGTTACATATTAACTGAGAAATGCAAAAGTGTGACGATCTTTCAATACTAAATAAATACTTCAAAAGAGTAATTATATGTGGAACAGGATCTGTTACCTTTCCGGAGCACCTAACATCATCCTCGGTTTTTGGTGGGGTTCATGTTGCTCGGTATTTATTTTTCTAAGTCAGGAATATGGCACTTGTTTCGTTAATTGATAGCGTTTAATTTTGTCCATTTTTATGGACTTCCCCTTTTTGAATTTGCTTTAGAGTTTAGTATTTTTGTTATACTTTTTCTTGTGTTTTGTATAATGTTGTTTGTCTTTTGGTCGTTTTTCGTTTTTTACCATGGCGTTGTCAGTTTATCATCGATTTATAAGTTTGGTTATCCATTTAGTATCATCTGCCTCTTTTTAACGTATATAGAAACATTCCGTCTAAACCTCTTCTTTTTCTATTAACAGCTTACCTGTCGCGATTCTGATGTTGATTATTACCTGAAACAAAAACTGTATACCTGTATTATTTTTTTTACAAAAATAGTGATAAATTTGTACTCCTTTATATTTTAATTTGCATAATTTAAAAGAATATAAATATATATATGAAGTCATGTTCAGTCCTCAGTTAATTTACAGATTCATTCACTGTGGTCAATTCCATGACTTTTCAGAAAGTTTGCCTGCTGTCAATTAAGATCTGTTCAGTCTATGTACAGACTGTTAAGAAGTTGTTATTTACCAGTACAAAACATCACACTGCATGGTGTGAAAAGCTACCCAACAGTACTGGATTGACTGCAAGTCAAAAGCCTGAATAGTACTGAATTTACAAGAAAATATCTAAACAAATAACTAAAAACTCTTAAAAGAGTAAGCGTTTTTAGGTTCAGAATTTTCAAATGACTGTTTAATGTGGTATGGGGGTATCAAACAAAAATGATAGATTTTTCTTACAATTTACACAGTTGATCCCTATAATATGTACATTGCAAATATAGGAAAACATCTGTTGTCACCGTCCATTTAAGGGAATAATGAGTTCCTGAATAAATAATATTTTTTCAGTGTCTTTAGTATAGATATAAAGGGAAAATTACACCTTTTTCGAAACCGGTCGTATTTTCAGTTAGAAACAAATGATAAACTTTTCTCATATTTTAGATATGAAATACTACAATTATAAGTTTATAGAAAACAAGAAAAAGTATATAGGTCACTCAGAGTGAAATTGGTGAATTAATATAATTTTAAAGAAAATACAATGTATATAATAACGAAGCAGAATTTATTATCTTACCTAAATAATTTGTTATTTAAATAAAACTCGTTAAAGATATAAATCTGTTTTAACAGTTTCATTTGACTAAGGGGCCCAACTCCTGTTACTGGTTGCTGTGTGACATAATTGTTATTTTGTTTCATATAAAAATAGGAAGATGTGGTACGATTGCCAATAAGCCAATTCTCAACCATAGACCAAATGACATAGACGTTAACAACTAAAGGTCACCGTACGACCTTCAACAATGAGATAAACACATAGCTAAGCATGAAGTAGCCGTTTGTTTTCTCTTTTTAAATGACTGACATCGTGCCTTGCACAGGCATTTTGTAGTTGACTTTACAGTATGAGTGTGCCTATTGTTCAAGCCCGTATGGCGACCTTTAGTAGATCACACCCCGTTTTCTTTGGTCGCTGCTCAATAATGAAAATGAACTGGAAACAAAGAAACTCTTCAACACTTGTTAAATTTTATCGGGCATGTCAGATACTTAGGTCTACTTTTAAAGGCATTCAAATCGATCTGTCAGATGTTTCATATCTTATTATACATTAAAAAAAATTGTATCTTATATCTTTAATTGGGAGAATGAATTTTATTTTCATAATACATTAAATATTGATCTATCAAAATAGAAAGTTATGTTGTGTACCAAATATGTTAGCTTTTGCGAAATTAGTAACATAATGATCCTTTATTATTCAGATCCATTGTGTGATGACAATTAAATGTAGACATGACATGGGGAAAATTACATTTTCACTTTCCATATGTTTATATGTATTTTCAACATGTTTATGAAGTCTGTTCAATGACCTTTATTGACTGGTTTACCACATATTTTCTCAGTTGGTCAAATCTCTATCTTTAATGTTGAAAGTATAGTTTAATTATAGGCAATATTAGTATACCGCTGTTCAATAGTCATAAATCGATTTAACTGAAACAAATCCGGGTCACAAACCAAAACTGAGGGTAACACATCAACTATAAGAGGAAACAAAACGGAACAATAGAAACACTGAACTTCTACAAAAAAACGTACGACAACATACATAAAAACGGACTATGTAATAACAATTGCCATATTCCTGACTTGGTACAGGACATTTTAAGAAAAAATGGTGGGTTGAACCTGGTTTTATGGCTTGCCAAACCTCCCGCTTATATAGCAATGTTAAAAGTACCGCTAAAATGACAACATTACGTGACAGGAATAAAGTATAAATGAATGCAAGAACATTCAGGTCAGAGAAATACATAAAGAAATAATATAATAGTCCATTTCAACATGTAAATCACAGAATAACAACGAACAACTCAAATTAATTTACGGCAGAACACAAATACAGCACAATAGAATAATGAACTGTGCGTCACACGAATATATCAACGCCACAAAAAGTGACGTCATAGGCAAATTTCTAAAAATACAATATGAAATTGGGATTAAGTTTGTAATGATGTTATTTGATGTATTTTCTAACCATTACAAGAATATTAATACAGAACTGTTTTAGCAATGGTGTAACAATTTGTATTTTATATATAACTATGGTTTTTCTTCTAAATCAAACTGTGAAAAAACAAATGAATCCTGTGCATATAGTTGCTACAAAATCGTATTAATGAACTAGGTGATTAATATGTTTACTTTAACATACATAAATGTTATGAAGAAATAATAGTACAAAATAACATGAATAAACTTTCACATTGTGCTAAACATATAACCTTTTTGATATAAGAACTATTTGTCAATCTGAACTGTTTTAGAATTGCCTGATTTGATAATTTTTTTCCGTGTAGACTTTTTGATATTTCTCCATAAAAAATGTACTGTACTATTGAAACCCATACAATTAAATTATTATTTTAGTCATTTAACTATTCTGCAAAGTGAATAAAGCTTCAATAAAAAAAGTAAACTTTTTAAAATCTATTGTTATGCAGATTTCAACCCATGATTCAATACTCAACACAGCTGGATATTTTCAATGACAATAAACCTTTAAACTTTTTTCACGTCTTCGGGATTATAGCCACATGCCATTTAGAATAAGCCAGTAAAAATGTTGATCGTCCAATATTATTTTCCTCGAAAGAGGCATCATAAGCCATACAAAGTTAAAGAAGTTTTATGACAAGACATTTTTTCGGGCTTGGAAATAAAATATTTTTTTCGTGAAGTTTTTTCTTAGGTTTGTAAAATTATTTAATTTTCAAATGTCTGACAGACTACATAAAGAAACACCAAACGTTAACGATAACTAACAAAATATGGCTGGTGCATAGAAAAAACTTGTTTCTACATCCGTAACAATTTGTTTATATAATACACACATTTGTTGGTGATAGTTTGGTGCTAATGGTTGATTTTAAAGTTGTTTGCCTCAATGTTTTACCTCGGGTGATTTAGAGATTGACATATTATGTAGACTCCTATCTATTGTTGAAGACTGTATTTTCCCCTCTCGATGTCTTTTGGTTGTTTTTGTCGTTGATTATTGTCCCATTTACGTATATGTTATAACACCCTCTCATATTTATAAATATATAACCTCTCACCTGAGTTTGTTTTATACTTCATATTTCCCCGCTTACAAATAAGAACGCTACAATTGAAAAAAAAAATGTCTTGTAAATCTTCTTTTTTCTTCATCAAATAACTGTTTAAGTCATTTTCGCTTTTTTGAATACATATCAAGACTCTTTTTGGGGAAATATGAATGATTTCTAATCCTACTTTGCAAAGGATTATAGTATGATTACACGAGTGCACCGTAGATCAATTAAACAAAGATTTATTGTTCATGTGTGAAGAAAAAAATGTAAAGGCAATGCTATCATGTTCTGAATAACCATTATTGAATATATATATATATATTATATATATAAACAAGTCTAAATTGAAAACAACGTTCAAACCTATGATTGCGGTTGGATAAAAACCGCAATTTGTATACGTGTGCATGCAAAACAAATTTCTTGATAGAGGGGTCCACATACAGCACAAACAACATTTTCCAAAAGACCAAAAAAATGAAAAAGTATATTTTAACAAAACGCATTTGACTAACAGGTCGAACAACAGATGTTCGTAAACCCTGCTGACTGCCACTGGCGATTGCCAAATAAACGAATCACAAGATGTTACAAAATGGATCTTTTAAAATTATTAATTAAATACCAAACAGAAAACAATAAACTTGCGGAAAAGACGGTATATCGCAAACAAAAGGTGCAAAAATTAGTACACCATATCCGGATTTCGACAATTAAAGTCTCTTCAGTGATGTTAGGGATCGAAACGGTATTTGGAAGGCCATATAGTTTACCTCAATTTAGGATAGACTCTTGAATTTTGAAGAGTCGAAATATATATATATATATCCATAATGACCATGACTATGTCTAACTCGTTGTGGTCACATTCCCATGATCTCTTCTTTAACAACGATCTTACTGAGTAAAATATATCACCGTATCTTGATTTACAATATGCATCACGAGGGTTGCCGCTAAGTTCAAATATATTAACAATCATTTCATGTCAAAACTATACCTTACCCTGACTTGTGCTGAAAAATTCAACATACCTATAGTTGTATATTAGAGCGCATTGGTTCCCGAAATTTTATTACTACAAAAACAGGTATTTGTTGTCTCTTTGACACATTCCCCATTTCCGTTCTCAATTTTATTTCTGTTCTGAACAACACGGCATATATGCCCCCTATCTTAATTTCCTATTTCTTTTTTGTTATTAATGAGAAACTCTTATTAAAGTTTCTACTGAGGGCTAAAGGTCTTAAGCTTTCATTTCATACCAAAATTACCCAAATATTTTAGTTATTGACAAAGTTACAGCTATGCGTAGGAACTATTTTGTATAAATATATACAACTTTCCTGTATTTTTTTGAGACTGGGTCCGAATTAGTGGTTCTATACCTTATGTGATTGCTTTTTTATGTCTTGTAGTTTTTTTGCGACTTAAGACATCATTTAAGGTTCCAAAACACTCAGGCAAGGTTGACCTTAGATGGATTTTTTTGTGGCTAGTATCTGAGGTACCTTTTGGTTATATAGCTCTTCAAATGTTGATGCTCTGGTACATCCTTGGCTTTCAAAGTGCTGTGCGTTTCTGGTGAAGGTAAATCGAAGAGATTGGTTCAAACGCAACACATCTATAATGTGTTATTATCGTTTGGTATCTTTCCCCTTTTTTGTACGTCATATTGTAAATAAACCGATTTTGCAAAGCAGATCTTCGCCGCAATTTATTTTCTTGATTTTCTAACGTTGTTGAGTTGATGTATTTAAATAGACAACATAAATTTCGACACATTCTCGACCAATATGTACTCCCGTATATTTTTCTGGTTGGATTTGCAGAAGTCGCAAAAATAAACCGTTCGGAAAAAATGTTGATGTGCTAGAAGTACTACGCCTCTAACTAAAGTTATGGCAAGATGTATGACATCCTGAGGGGAAAAGCAAACAAATTCTCATAAAAGACTATCTATAGAAGGTGCACATTGTTACGATTCTGGGAAATTTTCAATACATTTGGGAAAAGTGTTTAGGAGGATTTGTGACAAAAAAGGAATAAACCAAGATAAACCAATAGCAAAGTCCGTGATTGTCTTAGGGAAATCCAAATATAGTTAAGCAATTCCGACAAAAAAAAATAAAATAGGAGGTGTACAATGGCATTACATGGTTAATATGATAGCAATACTTACGTAACTACTAAAACCAAACAAATGAATCCAATACATCCACTGGCAATTATAATTATCAGATTTGTTTGAGTCAGCGATGTAGAAAGAACTGAAATGATTTGAAAAAAGTATAAAATTGGAAACAAAGTCGGTGTGCAATTTAATAATTCTTCTTTATGTAACAAATATATACTTCCGATAATTATTAAGATAGTCGAACGAGAAAAAAGTCGATTAAGGACTTTGGCAACCTTTTCAATACACATACTTTGGTTTCTAGGCAGTGATTAGGAAAATAAAGGTGATACTGATTCATTCAAATTAAATCCTAAAAAAAAAACGTACCCAAAAATGGCTCTTAAAACAATTCCTAATATCATGTGAAAACATTTGTGAGGTTTAACGAATCTGTTTTTTTGCGTTAATTCTTTTGCATATTTCGGTAAAATGACCTGAACTCAGTGTTGAAGGCAGTACGGTTGCCTCTAATTGCTTACACCCACTTTATTTGAACTTTGGTGGATAGTTGTCTCATTGGGAATCATACCTCATATCCTTATTGTTTTATTAAATACAGACAAAAGGTGAGTGTATAATGTTTTTGGTGGTAGGCGCAGTATTGCATTATGCGTGGACATATTATGCATAATTCAAACTTTAGAACAAATTAACCACAAATGCAGTTCAGTTTTTCCCCCGACAGATTTTATTCGATCTAATCATGCCTGTAATTACCAACACAAGTTATAACATATATAAGTTTCCATCACTTTTTAAAACTTAAAGCAAAGAAATGTTTTACTTTCGCATTGATAATATTTTGTATTCAACAACAGATTTTTATTTTGTTTATTTGATCATTACCTGAAACGTTTTCCATATTTGTTGTGGTGTAACATTTCTCTGTTGATGTTCTGTAACTACCAAATGATCCATCTCGACATGTAACGGGGAGTTTAAAATCACATGATTTTACTATAGGTGTCATTTTCTTGCCATTTGCAATAAAGGAGGCAACACAGAAGGCATTGTCAGAATCTAAAAGAAAGTGAGAAATTTTAGTAAAGTTTGTATATGTTTGATTAAACTTTCAGTTATTAAATCATGTATGTTGTTTTAATCTATATCGTGAATAAATGAATTAATCTGCCGTTTAACAGACGACTTTCTGGTGGTGTTGTGTTTTGTTTTTGTTTTTTGTTCTGTTTTTATGTTGTTTTTTATGGGTTTGGTAGAGGATTTATTTTCTGAAAACCGTACTCAATCATCTATTATTTTATATTGCTATTTATATTTCTAAAACTGAAGGTCTTAATTGCTTGTATTTGTTTCATTCACAGAATCAAACATCAAAAATTTCTTCAAATTAACATGAATTTGAAAATTCTTTACTTACATCTAGATATTGAAAATGCAGGTCGATAGAGAACAAGACTTTATAAACAAAAGAGATGATGTCAACTCCCTTATTGTAAACTTTTCATTTTTATGTAGCAATATTCCAGCAACGCCTGCATATGGAGTATATATCTCCCAATTAATACGATATTCAGAGATTATATTACTTGTATTATCATGATTTCCTTGATAGAGGGTTGCTGCTTACAAGGAAGCTATTAAATCAAGAGTTCCAAGTCATGAAATCATTCTTTCAAAAATTTTACGATTGCCATCACGAATTAGTTGACCGTTATAGAATATCTGTCACAGATGACGAAGGATAGGTTCCAATTGTCGTAACCACAATCCCGTTCTCTTTCAATAATTCTTATATGATTTGCATATCTACAAATACTTGAATTTGATGGGATTGAATTGGATTGGTCCGTTAGCATTTTTTCCCTGGTTTACACTTCGATAGACCATGTTGCCGAAACTGTTTTCGTAACCTTCATTCTGATCTATTCATGTGCGATACAGATGCATGGGATCAAGGGGTTCAAGCAAATTGAGATTGAAAAAACAAAAACATAACTGACATTTCTATTCTACTGAATAATAAAAAGAAATAATGCATTAGACCTTGGAAAATGTATAAATTTACAGAAAAATTAAATTCCGCGAAATTTCATGAATGAGCTTGGCGCATTAACGTCAAGGGAAAACTTGACGTCATACGAATGAAAACTCTCAAGATCAAGATTATTCCGTTTCTTGTATGCTTCAAATTTAAATAATATCTCATTAAAATGAAATTTTTTGAGGTAGGTGTTATTTCATTTTAGATTCTATTGCATTAATCGAACATTTATAGATTTCAGAAAGTCAAGGTGGCGCACTAGCAAATGTCGTCCTTTTTAGTTTCCGGCTTATCAGATATATGATTAATTTGTAATGTTTTTCGCGTGTGTTTGTCCATGAAATAAATGAATGAATCTTTTTTATTATTACATTACACTCTTGCTTAACAATTGTTTTAATATGATAAAGTATGGCTAGTAATTATGAATCTAGGAGTTTGCGATAGTTAGAAGAAGAACTGAAGAAAAGAAAAGCAAAATTATCTGGCAGGAAGAGTGAACTTATTGAAAGGTAATGCACATATTAATATTGTTATACTCTAACAAGTAAATAATATGTTGAATGATACTTATTTGTGAAGTAATTGTTTTATGAAATAAGTACATTATTTCAGTTAATTGTTATTTATCATCGGCATGAAAATGTGGAAGCTTTATGTACTCTACAATCTGTTTATATAAATCAGTATTTTCGAATAATGTATAAATTATTTTTCAATACTTTTCAGATTGGAAGCTTATGATAGAAAGCAAGATTTTTGGAAACAGGGAGACCTTGGTGAGGATTTTTTCAATGAGCTTAACTGAAATGTCAGAGCATAACGATAGGAATACTGAATTTTAATATGTGGAGTTTAAAATTGGTGCAGTTGAAACATACTTGGATACAATTTGTAATGTATTTTTGTTATTTAATGTTTACTTATTTATTGTTATATCTCGTCTCACTATTTTTAATATTTACCACCTTTGATAAGTGTTTAGTATGACGATAAATTTTCACTTCTGTTCTCGTACTATGAACAACAAAATTATTTTTTTTGGTGAAAAATTTTGCGTACTCCATGTATACCTTACAACAAAATTATTTCTATTTACCTGTGTACGTTATTTTATTTGGCGGCATTTTGTCCAAGGTTATGGTTGTCTTTCTGATATTGTTTTACATCTAACTCCCTTGTTTTATTAATGTTGTAATTACATTGTGTCATAGATCAAATATATTCGTTCAGTGTATGTTCACTTGTTTTTGTTAATATGTCTTTTGATTGAATAAAGCCATTGCAATTGATATTTTATAGTGTGTCTTTCTATGTTGTCATATTACACTATTGTTTCAGGTTAGGGTGAAGGTTGGCGCCTATTAAAACGTTTAAACCCGCTGCATTTGTTTGCACCTGTCCTAAGTCAGGAACCTGATGTTCAGTGGTTGTCGTTTGTTGATGTGGTTCATAAGTGTTTCTCGTTTCTCGTTTTTTATATAGATTAGACCGTTGGTTTTCCTGTTTGAATGGTTTTACACTTGTCATTTTTATGGCCCTTTATAGCTTGCTGTTCGGTGTGAGCCAAGGCTCCGTGTTGAAGGCCGTACTTTGACCTATGATGGTTTACTTTTACAAATTGTGACTTGGATGGAGAGTTGTCTCATTGGCACTCATACCACATTTATATCTAAATCCTTAGATTGTGATGCCACCAATTTATACAAGGACAAATGTCAAAAGTATATTCGTCTAGCAACTGAAAACAATATGTATCTAGTAAAAAGTGAATGCCGTGCCCAGATGAAAAAGTCAGTAACATACAATGTAGACGTATCAATATATTGTGATTGTAGTATTTTTCCCGTCAACGTGAATGTGCTGCAGGAACGGTCTAAATGCTCACTGCAAGCATGTTTGTTGTGCATGTCTGGCTTTGCATAACTTCTCTAGTAATTGCAAAATTGTGAGAGAGAAAACCGACACTCAGAGATTAAAACTTTTCTTAGAAGCAAGCGTTTTAAAGGATCCCATATGAAGGCATAAAAGACTATACGTTTTCTCTTATATAACAATGGGAAACTGATGCTAAATGAAAACAAACTCAAGCTAGCGACCAATTCCGGCGACCAATCAAGCTAGCGACCAATTCCGGCGACCAATCAAGCTAGCGACCAATGCCGGCGACCAATCAAGCTAGCGACCAATTCTATTGACCATTAAAGTTAGCAATGAGAATCAACTTGTAAATGAATCATAATGCGGTATGTGTGAAAACCACAAAACCCCATTATAAAAAAACGTTCTGTAAAAAAGTAGACATTAAAAATTCTAGCTACCAGTACGCTATATATTGTTTTTTAACGTTTAAATGACCAGAGATGTCCAGCATTTATAGTGAAAGTGTGACACTACAACACCAATGACGTCTGTAGCTGAATGCACTGACTAGCTTGCTTGCTAAATGCCGGCATATTGATATGAATGAATAAAGAAATATATAGTTTCTATAAAAAAAAGACGTGCCAACAATTCGAAAAAAGTCAAAACATCTTAATAAAGCCTGTGTCAGATGTATGATGTTTGATAAAATTCTGTATATAGAGATAAGAAGATGTCTATTATTAATACAGTCTTTGTTAACGATTTGTTTTTATTCTGCTGCATCCAAACACATACTATATATTATCATACATGTATTCATATAAATCAAAGTGCGCCCCCTCCCGGATTTTACACCTTCGGGAAAGGAACAAGTTGGGAAAATAACCATATTTTGACGTCTCCTTTGCGTTTTCTGTGTTTTTCAAACCCTAAACCTATCATATCGTAAACTTGTATCAATTATTGCAAATAAAATATTAAAGACGTCTATCCCCTATGAACATGTGTACTAAGTTTCAAGTTGATCTGACTACAACTTCATCTTCAACTACATTCACCAATAACGTTAATCTAATGCAGTATGAATTGACGGACGGATGAACTGACAAACGAACGAACGAACGAAGGATAGAACACACAGACCAGAGAATATCATGCGCTTTACTATCGTAGGCCGAGCATGAAAAAAGATATTTAATGTGAGTTGACTTAAACT